CGCAATTGGGCATTATAAATTCGGCACGTTTTAAAATGAAAAATTTAACCGGATTTTAATTGAACCCATGTGATTGTAACTGCGCTTAATATCATAATGCGATGTTAACAAACCGGTTCTAGAACGGGGCGTTACACTTCCCTATCCTACGTGCCCACACTGTGCTTTACCCCACGCGCCTCTCCGACGCCAACTCGCTCCTCTCCTCCTACGAGAAGGATTGACGCTACGGCGTTCTCAAGGGCAACCGGCAGTGCACTGAGTCAGTTGCCCGACGAAGTGTACGGCAGTGATTGGGACGTGATTATGATTGACGCGCGAAGAGGGTACTTTGCGGCGGCGCCTGGGAGGATGGCGGTGATATATTCCGCAGCGGTGATGGCGCGTGGGAGGAAAAAGTCAGGTGTGACGCACATGTTCTTTCATGACGTGGAAAGAGAGGTTGAGGGAAAATACGGGAAGGAATTTTTGTGCATGAAATATAGGGTTGGTGGGATTAAGAAGCTTTGGCACTTTGTTATCCCACCCGCGTATAATGTCAATGATACCACTCATGGTTTTTGCTAAAATTATAAAGCTTTTCTTACTGTATCCTTCAATTTAATATTTAAAAGAACAGGTTTTCTTTTCTTTTTCTTTTTTTACATTTTGTGCTCAAGAAGTTTTATGGTCTCTATTATTCGTGTCTTTTTTATCCAGAAGTTTCAACGAAGTTACCTCTTTCGTTTGTGATTGTCCTTCAAAGGCTCAGGCATAGCTATTGAAATAACTGACAGATAAAATAAAATAAAAAACTGTACAGTTTCTATTGACAAATATCAATGCATATCCTCTCCCTAGCCTTTATTTTTTTATTATTATATATCTAATGGTATTTTTGTAATAATAATAGATTATAAGACTAAATAGTTTTCCCCTCCCTACAAAATATTTGTAACAATTAGCCTTTTCTATTAGTCCTAAACTCCAAACAATATTTATAATTTTAATATTTATTTTGTTTCCCTAATATAAAAAATTATGTGTCCCCCATATTGCACACGCCTAAGTTAAAATGTTTACTTTTAGTAAGAGTGTCTTGATGAAAAATATGAAACGGATGTTTGGTATGAAAACGGTCTCCATCATTTGTCGATAATATTGATTGTGATCCTCTTCTGTTTCAATTTACATAATTAACTCTTATCGTTACAATGGACTCAAATTTTATAATTGTGGGAATGAATCCTCACTTTTTATTTCAACGCAAGACATTTAGATGAAGATAGGATAACAGTGGATTTCTTATATTTGAATTCCATTATAATTTGTTCAATTTATAAAACATATTTTGTCTAAGAACTGTATTTAAGTTCACTAATTTCTTTTGAAACTGTTTTCATTCCGAGATTAAATTTTATTTTCTCTAACTACCAAAAATAAAAAAAAATCTCTCCACAAGTCCTCAGTTCTCTTTTGCTATTTAAACAACGGGAGATTGTTTTCTCATTTAACATGAGATAAAACAATTCTCTTGACCACATATATGAAAATGTGAGACTTATTTATATTTTCTCTCTCTATATATATATTTATAGAAAAATTGTTTTATCTCTTATTAAATGAGAAAAACAATTTCCATAAATAAACAAACAAAATTACTGTCTCAATACCAACAAAGCCCAGCACAGTTGGTAGATAGTTGAGTTTCTTAAGCATGTTGACAGGAGTTCGATCCTTGGCCGTGTGTATGAAAAAACCTTTGTTAGGAGAGGTTTACCCACTTAATGTGATCTCCCGTCTCGAAAGAATTAGTCTTCGACTCTTGACTGGAGGATACTTTGAAAAAAAAAAAATTACTGTCTCAATAATAAGTAAAGTTAGCAGTGAAGTTCACACCTCTAAAATCGACTCGTCGCTGCATGATTAAATAAGATTGAATTTACTTTTAATGTAGTCTAAAATATATTGTAATTTTAACTTATTAAATAATTTAAAGTTAAATATAAATACAAATTTACTTGTCCTAAATTCACGGATTCACAAAGATAATCCTAATTCTCGTTAACACCCCTAATTGTGAATGATAACTATCTTGTAAATCAAATTCTACTAAAAGGGGTGACACTTTGACAATCATATAAGATATGGAGAAGATATATTTACCACAAAAAAGTTTACCACATTTATAACCAACCTAATCACCATTGATTTCTGTCAATCTAACGGTTATAATTTATTGAAAATTATTGGGTCACATTTTTTAATGAAGTTCTTGACGTTAGATTATCATTATAATTTTTTAAAATGTGAGTTGATTCAAAAAACATCTCATTAATTATTTTTTAAATCATAGCAATTTTAAAAGTGTAAATTTGTTTTTAAATAAACCTCAAATGTTAGATAATCTTATACAACGACCTTAAAAGTTTTTTTCTTTTTGAAAAAAAAATCAACTCTATCATCATGTTAAATTTCTATTAGTATTTTAACTATAGGAATCAAATTTATAAAATACCGAAATTATATGTATTTATTTACAAAATTATAAAATGTATGAGGTTCGAGGAAAAAAAAAAATCTTATACAAATAAGACATGACCTTGACTTTACTTACAGAGATTATATCGTGATATTATATTTAATTTAATTTCATAAATAAAAGAGGAGGGAATGATATAATTAAAGTCACTCTTACATCATTCAATATTTTTTCATTGGATGATTTTATCTCAAAATCTACCATAAAAGTTTCTATCATATAAATTGTATTTATAAGATATTACATTAATGCAAAATTATTTAATACTCCATTGATATATATCAAAATTAATATGATATATTCGCAAAAATATTTTTTTTTTTTTAAAGGATATTCATTTTAGCTAAAACTAATAATTTTTATTTAAAAATTTAAACTAAAAAAAAAAACTTCCAACTTTCTCTCGCTATATTTTTATTATGGATTTTTTTTATTTAAAATGACATAATTCTATCAGTGGCGGGGTCGGGCTCAAATTTGAGCACGGGCCAAAAAATTATACGCGTATTTATTTTTCTTAATTTTAGTTAGTTCATATAATAATATATTTAAATTAGGGAATGATCTGTTTACAAATTTTTATTACAAATTTTTGCAAATTATACTATATACTCCCGGAAGTACATATTGTAATCTAATGTTATTCCGGGAATACATTGTGTAGTTTGTAAATAAAAAATTTGTCAATATAACCCTCCTCATTTAAATTATATTAAATACATAGCACCTGAGCAGGCAGTACCAATAAAAAATAAAATTTTATTAATTTTTTTTTTATAAAAGTGAAAATTAAACACATAACCTAATACAACTTACTTAAATCTTTTACCAAAAATATTTTAATTTTTAAATAGGTCTAAATTACAAATTGTAGCTCGGATCAAATTATAATTTTAACTCGGGCCAAATTATAATTAATTATATAATTATATATAATAAATATAATTTGTTAAAATTTAGCTCGAGTCGAAACCACACCTAGAATGTACGTGGCTTCGCCGCTGAATTCTATATCGTTTAAAAATACAAATACCAAACCCATGTACTTGCGGAATGTATGAAAATAAAGACTATTTGATTATATTCTCACTGTTTTTCAAATTTTATTAAGTTTTGTATACAACTAATGAGATGAAAAAAAAACTCCCTATATTGGATTCTTTGAATTAAATACAGACAACAAAAAAACGAAATCATTATTACAAAAAATAAAACGAAATCATTGTTGCTATTTGTGAGCTTTCACAAAGCTTCAACGGTGGAATCTGGTTTCAAGCGGGTCGACCTATAGAAGAAAATATTACAATGGAGAAATCTCAAACAATTCTACGGGTTAGGGTGAGATTGTGAGAGAGATATCCTACTTATAATTCTCATTAAAAAATCTCACGAAATCTACACCAATAGAGATTTTTTAAAATCTTATAAATTCTATTAAAATCTTTTAAAATCCAATCTTACAAAATCTTGATTATAAAATGTTTTTTTTAAAAAAATCTTTAAAGTCTCTTCAATTTTAAATAATCTTTTAAAATCTATAAGATTTTTTATTTCAATTTTAAAAAAAAAAAATCCTAAAATTTAATATACCCTCCGGACCCGTGTACTTGCGGAATATATGAAAATAAAGACTATTTGATTATATTCTGACTGTTTTCCAAATTTTATAAGTTTTTTATACAAATAATGTGATGAAAAAATAAATCTCCGTATATTAATTCTTTGAATTAAATACAGACAACAAAAAAACGAAATCATTATTAAAAAAAAAAAATCATTATCCTGTTATCACTCTCAATCAGCAATGATTTATTTCTTAATTGAAAATAATTTTTCAAAATATATAGCGGTATTTAATGACGCAGTGTGTTTATATTGTGTGGATAGTGTAGGCATTTCCAAAATCAATTGCCAGCGTAAAGAAGATTGTTGCCTTAAACAAACGCAACACTCTGAAAATTCAATCAATCAATCAATAAATAGCAGCAAAAGAAGAGCGCTGGTTATTGTTGTGTCTTCCATCACAGAGTCATGGTTCCTTCTCCTCTACACTGCTTTTTCTTTTCTTCTTCTTTTCTTCCTCACTTGCCAATCACCCACTACAACAAAAATGGCATTTCACCACGGCAATTTAGCAATGCGTAAAGCACGTTGCAATTAGTTAGGGTGTAGACCCATTGAAAGTAACTATTGCCCATCAGTGCCACCGATTTTTCTAGATGTCTAAATCCCCAAATACATTTCGTTCACTTATCGCTCCATCTATTTGAAAATCTTTTTAAATCCATTTAGCCACTATCGCTCCATTCTTCTAATCTGAGTTGAGGTTAGTTGAAAATTTAGAAATTTGGCTCTCTCTTTTTGTTTGGGGGTCGAGGAAAGGGAAAGGAATATAAGGCTTAGATCTATAAATTGAGCAGTGGTTTTATGTTAACCTTATTGGTCATTTTAATAATACAACATTGGTTAATTAGTGCTTCGTCTTCCATTCGTCTTAGTTGCTTTGCTGCGTCATCCCTGGACATGCAATTGCTTCGGTTAATTAGTGCTTCCCTCTCTAGATCTCAAGCTTCTACTTTGTGTTTTGCTGCTCTTGATGTGATCTTCATTCTAGTTTTGCCGAGAATCTCGTCGTCGGAGTCGCATGGGTCCAAGGTAGGGTTTTCTTTTGGTTCGTAATTTTGGATTATCACTGATTTAGCTTTAACCGGTGAAATTTTTGTTCTTAATTCAAATTGATTTATCTTCAACTGGTGAAATTATGTTCTTATCTAAAAATGCATGTCAAGTGTTTGACAAAAGTTTAAGAAAATTGGACATTATTAATGCTTGAATTTCTAGATATTCACTTGAAAACTTGCAAAATGTTAATATATCAATTAAACCATATAGTTAATCTTTTGTTATCGATATATGGTAAGTTCATATACCTTCTTCGCGACAGTATATGCTATCTTTAAGCTTAATTATGCTTGCTTCTATATCTTGATGTTATGTGCCCATTCTTAGGTTGATTTATGTCCCTTTTGTCTTCCTTTTCCTGTATTCTTGTCTTTGCCTTTATTTTTTCTATTTCCTTCTAGTTGTATAGAAACCTATGCATATTTTTTTTTTCAAACTGAAATAATGTATGTTGGCATTCGTTAAAATATAGGTTGATAAAATAATGATTATTCGAGGCCTTTTTTTGAATTGAGTACTGTCGTGTGTTTTAGTTAAACCATTACTATTTTTATTTCAGATTCCTAAGACCCATGATTGGAATGAAGCTTTGTTTGGCTTCTCAACCAGTGTGAAGCTGAAAAATTGAGGCTGGGATACTTTTCAAGAAAAGATAGGTGTGTTTAACTTTTGATTCTGCTTGAAATAGATGTATGCTAGTTCTGTTTATATAGAGACTTATACGGTGCCAACAATTATTCGACTTCTAGATGTGAGGGGTTATAATAATTAGAATTAGATTTATTTATTTAATTTTTACCTAGAAGCTGGCCGTGAAATAATTCACTCTTTTCACAAGACTCTGTTTTTCTAATGCCCAGTATCAAAGGCTTAGTGTGGTTTATAAATGTTGATCCCATTTTTTGCTCTAATTTTTGTATAAGCCATCAATTATTTGCTGATGAATAACGAGTTTGGTATTGTTAAGATGCATGTATGATACTTCGGTAAATGTGGGATTCGCCTTTTGTAGTGAGGCTACTTAATAGAAGCAGTGAATTTATATATATATATATATATATTTTGTTGTTTTTAAAACCTTTAAGGATTGGGTTGTGAAATCTAGCAATCATAGTATGACTTGAGCCGAGCTCTATTATAGTTTATAGATGCCATATGACAAGTATGTTTAGGTTTCTATACATGTTTGTAATAAACTAAAAATTATTAATTTAGTACAAGATTTTAATCTGCATATTACTTTCTATATAAATTAAATTTTGTACTTCGAATATAATATTTGATTTGGAAAAATCTTCAATTTTTCCTATAATTAAAAAAATAATATTTCAGTACTTATTTTTTTATATTTATATTTTCATTTTAGTTTTAGAAAAAAAAATCAACCCAAAATAAAATTAACTTGCAGAGAGCCAGAGAATCCCATATATTTATTCATTTAGAACCATTAAAATAAAATAAAGCATAGGCAAGTATGTAGAACTTATGCAAATGGTTTTGTTTTTATACCCTTCTCGGTCCCTCACGAATCAAATTTTGCTATCTAATCCCTCAACACTCCAAATTCACCTCAATTTAGTTCTTCTGCAATCAAAATCTGCCTCATAGAAACATTAAATTGATATAACTTTTTATGAGACACTAGATTGCAAAATTTGAACTGTGAGGGACTAAATTGAGAATGAAAAATTATGACTAAAATGAGGTTGTTGTGTTGTTTTTTATTTAACTAACAATGGTTCAACTATTTCTTTTTATTAAATCTGCATTTTGATACCCACACAGGTAGCTGTTGGAACGTGGTTTTCATTTTGGTTGAGCATCACCAGTATATCTTCACCCTATGGCATGTATACCTTCTTGTAACCAATCTGATCAACATATTTCTGATGGTAACTCACATATCTGTTCTCATAAAAAACATTTTACAAGTAGTTGCAAACGTGACTTCTTGCCCCTTCTGTGCCCGAGTTAAACCAATAATTAAAAAATTGATATGAAGATTTTCGTTTTGCCTTCAGTTAGATACACTCAACAGATTTAATCTTCCTTGTCTGACAAGTCTTGTAGGATGGATGGCGTGAAAGGATTTTCGCTTTAGTGGTATAAAATTTTGTTTTTGTACAACCATCATCTATGGTTCTAGCTTGGGAACAAGTTGTCCTCTTAGTTCTTCATACTCTCTTGACTCCAGTTGAGGCTTTATTTCAATATGTAAAAGCAAATAATCCATTGGTTGTGCTGAAAATGCTGCTTGACATCAGGGCCAGAACTAGAAAAATTTGTGAGGGTGCTATGCTTTAAAATTTTAGAAGCGGGCAAATTTAGATGATGATGCCCGTAAGTGAGACTACTTGTTTATTTTTATGCTAGGATATCTATTTGATTGACCTGGTAACAAATCACTCATGCCTCCTCCTTCTACCCATTTTTTATTTATATTTTATTTGCAGGAAGATGTTGGTTCCACTACCACTGGGCCTTGTATACTTGGGACGATATTACCAACTCTTGACTTCATTTTGTTTTGTTTCCATGGGACGTGGTGTTAAATTAGCAGATGCTCTTGATGGACTAGCTGGAGGTACTGCTGCATTGGCTTTTACTGGAATGTCGATAGCTGTACTTCCAATATGTTCTGGTTAGTAGCATGTCTTTTAAGTCAACTATGGACTTCGAATTTCGAAACCAAATATCTATGTGCCAGATATTCCGTTTTTTATCATTCCAGATCCATTTTCAATCTATAATCAATAAAAGAGATCACTTTTCAATCTATGGAATTAGTCAGATGTATTGGCTAAATTCCTGTTGACTAAATTTTTAAAAGTGTTATGTATACAGTGCTTTTCCTTATTTTTTATTTATTTCTTTTCTCTCGATCAGTTTTTGCTTGTTATTGACTTCAATTATTTTAGATATAGGTGATACATCGTGATTTTAATTCTGAGCTAATGCTCTGAATCCTATTAGAAAGTACTAGTTTTCACTTTGATGGTTTTGATTATTTGTGCGAAATGCTAAATAAAATATATCATAACAAAAGTAAAGCATGAGTTTGCTAGGTTGTTATGATTTTTCCTGCTAAATGTCTGACCAGGGATTATATTTTACCTTTTTGTAATTTCACTTGTAGTTTGCTTATGCCTATGATGGGAATGCTAAATGAGTTGTAGCCTTGTAGCCCCTTATATTTGTCTTCATTCTGTGTTTACAGGTATGCTGACTTGAAGATCAACAATTAATGAATTACACATTCAACTTCAATCATATGCTTAATGATAAGGTGCATTCACTATATGCAAATTTGGAGTGTATGCTTGTGAGAAATTACAATAAAGGAGTTAGTAGATTTAGTGACCATTATTTATGGGCCATGTCCTATTTTTTTTCCCCTTACAACAAGAATTGTCCGAAGTATAGGGTTTACTTTCGAGAGTAATGTGTGTTTGATAACCATAGATTGAAAATATCAATGTTTTGAGAGTATAGGAGTGAGAAGCTACAGTGAAGGAGTTAGTAGATTTATTGACCATTATTTATAGGCTCTGTCTTGCATTTTCCCCCCATAATAAGGACTGCCTGATGTATTGGATAACTTCCTATAGTAATGTTCTAAATTTTGATAAAATAGAAGCATATGGATTACAAACCATTTGATTTGTGAGAACCCACTTTCTGTGATGTTCTCTTTAGTGGTTATCATTTGCAGTTGACCCTCTAAATTGCAAACTTCACTTTAGTGATTGCAAGTGTTTGCTCTTTTTTTTGTTTTTTAAACAATCTCTGTCTAAAAAGTTTAGATATGTTGAAACTTTCATTAACTGTTGTTGAACTCTTTCTTCATCCGCATCAAAACTAATTACTGATCTGAAGTTTATTTATGTCTCACTTTCCTAATCTTGCTGTCAAACAGGGCAATACTACTATTTATGTGTTGTATGCACATGCTAGGATCTGTTCCATTATCAGGAAATATGGTAAAGGCCTAGAAGATTTAAAGAAAGTAAGTTTATTTTTCTTCCAAAGGAGATGACCTCCCAATTTATTAAATATATATTATAAAAAATATTTAATTTAATTATTATTGTATCATATGCATAATTTTGCAATATAAGATACAAGTATATAAGTTGTGCCTAGGTTTGTACCCTACCATGGTTGACTTGATACCAGTGAGTTCAGCAATCATCAAATCTAATTGTGATATGACTCAGTATTCCATGTGTTTATATGTAGTGAGCTAGATACCAACTTGTGCACATTTTTTACTGTCTACTTCATGTTTGTAACTTATCGTGACAGAATGGGAATATAATGTTGGATCATGAAGATGAGCGTGCATAGTATATGCTCTTCTTCTTGAGCTTTAGACATTTGCGTACTAGACTTGTAACATTTATAACTTTGATGCTGGAGCTTCATTTTCATTAAGCAGAAGGCTTGAGATATCATGATTAAAGCGGCTGGTGATTCTTGCATAGATGTCCACTGACAATCATAAACTTATAATTTTAGTTTTATTTGGAAATTATTTTTTTTAAATGATGTAAGTGGAAAACTTGATTAGTTTCTTTTTTTGGTAAACAAAAACACCATCAGTTTATATGAAATGGAAAAAGGATGGATGTTGAGAAATTGTGTAAAAAATATGATTTACTCATGAATTGAAAAAAAAGAAGTATTTTGTTAAATTGTGTACTCCACTTTATTATTTCTTTACTTCCCTTAATTTGGTTTTTTGTTCTTGCATCAAATGCAATTTTTATTATTTACTTTTTATATGATTTGGACAATTTGTAATATATATATATTTTTTTTAAAATCCTTTTAATTAGCCGCGGTTCTGTTTTTGGCAAAATAAAACTTTTGATCATTGAGATTTTAATCATTTAGCGACTAATAAAACGTGGCTATCGTAAGACAAACTGTGGCCAATTCAGTGTTACCACGCCCATTTAGCCTGTGGTTAAATGCAAAAATCACTGTGGTTAAAATAATGCAACGCCCGTTTTAGCCACGGTTTTGCAAACAGTGGACAATTTGTTTAGCCACAGTTTTTGCCATATTTTGCCACGACTTTTGCCGTGGCTAAACAACATTTTTGTTGTAGTGACCATGACTCACTCCAACTCAAAGGTTAGAATTGTTAGTTTTCTTTTTTCTGTGCTTGTACTCCTTATATTCACAAGAAAAAAAAATCACTTATCTTTGTGTATATGGGTAGCTAGTTGTATGTTATATCAAATTGTTCACTGAATTTTCCATACTTGTGTTCGGTAAATTAATTACTTTGTTCTTGTACTCTTTTCCCTGTCGTTTTTGCATTTGAAAATAATCTCCGCACATTACAACTGCAGGTATTGATATGGAAAGGCCAGTTTTGGATATCTCCCCTTCCCCACTTTCTGGGGATTCAGCTGCTCATGGTGTTAAAGATATTTTACGATGTGAGCGTGTTCAAGTGTCTGGTATCTCAAGATTGAAACTTGGGAGCTATGCTAGTTCATTCCACATTACTTTGGCTCCATCTGCTGCGATCCCAGAGAGGTTACATAACAAAATTCAGGTTTGTTTCCACAGGTAAGTACATAACTTGGACATACTGTACGTAGTATTCTTTATTTATTTATTTATTTGCTGTCACTACACCCCCTCCTCTCAGGTGCATGCTTGGTATGCACTCTCTTCTAGTTTCAACTTCTTTCAAAGTCTATCAAGATTGCCATTTCTTATTTATAAAGTATGTGCAGGAATAATGCACTTGGATGGTGTCAGTGTGAAAAAGGATGAATGGATGAGTATTCAGAAGGGGATCTGGAATGCTGTCATGTCACCTTATGAAACTAGATATGTTGATGTGAGGATGAATGCTGAAATGTTGGGTTCTTCTGTTACAGTTTCCCTTGAAGAAGGTTTGTTTCTTCCATCTCATAAGAGTTGGGAAAATTATTCTATTGTCTCTTCCCTTTGTGGTTTCTTTTTTCAAAATTTTGGGGCTTATTTATATGTTATACAAAAACTTTGCAGATTTTCAGCAATGGCGCCTTGTATGTCTTGCATTGGGATTGATATTGCTGTTGTTGGCTCCAATTATTAGCAGTTGGGTTCCATTTTATTATACCAGTTCAATGGCTATAGGGATCTTTCTTGTTGTTATAATCCTTCTTTTTTAGGTATACAAATTACTTTCTTATTATATATGAATTTCATTTTGTTTCATTTCTTTTAATTCTTCCTTGGTTGTTTAACATGTTTTCTAACTAATTTCTTATAATTATGATATAGGGCATGAAATTATTGCCAACTGGAAGGAAAAATATCTTTTACCTTACCATATATGGTTCAGTGGTGAGTTTGATTTAATTTTGGTCATTGTTCCCTTGCAGCTCTTCATGTTTCATGCAGATATTATCACTGTTAATATTATTACTATGTGCTGTTTCAGTTTGGAGCTGGGTCATTCCTTTTGGGTCATTCCTTTTGCACCAATTCTCCGTGTTCATAAATTCAATTCTTCAAAGTTTTGGGATGAGTGAAGAGATGCACATTCCAGTAAGTATATCTCTCTTTCTTTTTTGGATAACTTGGTGCATATTTGTATTTTTATGTTCTGTCATACAATACTGGCTGAATGGCTAACATGTATAGACACTTCTGGATTCCTAATCCTTTTTGTTGGCTTTTTCTTTAGACTCATACATTTTTTTCTTATGTATGACGAGCTAACATTCTGGGACACATTGTAACATTTTGTTTTTGCAGTCAATAACTCACTCTTTTAAATCTCCCTTACCTTATAATGAGGTGGCTTTTTTTGTTTCCTTTTGAATAACTTTTGGCAAATGTTATTTCTTTCTTTGGGCTAGCAAAAAATATTTGCAGTCAACAGAAAATAGCTGGTAAAGGGGTGAAAATGACTTCCTCTTTTCAAATATAATTATTTCATTTTCTGGAACAAGCTCAACCTTTCTATATATACTTGTCGCTTTGATGTTTGCCCTAACTGTCATTCGCCAATGACTAGTCCCTGGTTGGTGGTTACGTTGTAGCTTTCACTTTCCACTCTCCCTGTTCCCCTTTCTGTGGTCCCTTCATTTCATGCTGCATAACTCTTGCTGATTGCTGGCCATCTTTGCCTGTCTGTCAGATATATGTTATCAATTGTTTTCCATCCTATGAGATTTGGCTTGTCTGTCAGACATATCTTAAATTCTCTTTAATAAAATAATTTTTTTCAATGGTTTTACAGGTTGCCATTTTTTGTACTACTGGGTATCCTCTTGGCTGGAGCTGCTTTAGGCTACTGGGCTCTTAGGAGATTTGTTCTTTCGAAAGAAGATGGCGGTGTGGATGCTGGGGTCGCTCAGTTTGTGAAATGGGCAATGCGCACTATTGGAGCCACCTTGGTTTCGCAGGTTTGCATTTATATAAACAGGGAGTACTATTGCTGTTATCTAACGTTCATCCTGTCATATATGACATGTTATGATAGGTCATCGCAAATTTGAACGTTAGATAACAGCAATAGTTTATTGCACACTCCCTGTTTATATAAATGCAAACCTGCGAAACTAAGGTGGCTCCAATAGTGCGCAAACCTGTGGAAACAAACAAGAATTTTGTTATGTAACCTCTCTGGGATCGCAGCAGATGGAGCCAAAGTAATGTGGAATGAACTAGCATAGCTCCCAAGTTTCAATCTTGAGATACCAGACACTTGAACACGCTCACATCGTAAAATATCTTTAACACCATGAGCAGCTGAATCCCCAGAAAGTGGGGAAGGGGAGATATCCAAAACTGGCCTTTCAATATCAATACCTGCAGTTGTAATGTGCGGAGATTATTTTCAAATGCAAAAACGACAGGGAAAAGAGTACAAGAACAAAGTAATTAATTTACCGAACACAAGTATGGAAAATTCAGTGAACAATTTGATATAACATACAACTAGCTACCCATATACACAAAGATAAGTGATTTTTTTTTCTTGTGAATATAAGGAGTACAAGCACAAGAAAAAGAAGACTAACAATTCTAACCTTTGAGTTGGAGTGAGTCATGGTGATTGGCAAGTGAGGAAGAAACGAAGAAGAAAAGAAAAAGCAGTGTAGAGGAGAAGGAACCCATGACTCTGTGATGGAAGACACAACAATAACCAGCGCTCTTCTTTTGCTGCTATTTATTGATTGATTGAATTTTCACAGCGTTGCGTTTGTTTAAGGCAACATTCTTGTTTACGCGGGCAATTGATTTTGGAAATGCCTACACTACACACACAATATGAACACACTGCGTCATTAAATACCGCCATATATTTTGGAAAATTATTCTCAATTAAGAAATAAATCATTGCTAATTGAGAGTGATAACAGGATAATGATTTCCTTTTTTTTAATAATGATTTTGTTTTTTTGTTGTCTGTATTTAATTCAAAGAATCAATATAGGGAGATTTATTTTTTCATCACATTATTTGTATAAAAAACTTATAAAATTTGGAAAATAGTGAGAATATAATCAAATAGTCTTTATTTTCATATATTCCGCAAGTACACGGGTCCGGAGGGTATATTGAATTTTAGGATTTTTTTTTTAAAAAAATTGAAATAAAAAATCTTATAGATTTTAAAAGATTATTTAAAATTGAAGAGACTTTAAAGATTTTTTTAAAAAACTTTTTTTATAATCAAGATTTTGTAAGATTGGATTTTAAAATATTTTAATAGAATTTATAAGATTTGAAAGACAATGTGGATTTATAAGGAGATGTATTGGATTGAGATTTCATAGTATTTTAATGGACTGTTTTTGGACAAAAAAATACATTTGTATTCAATTAGGATTTTAAAAGATTGAAAAAAAGTCACGTGGTATTCAATTAGGATTTTAAAAGATTATTTTAGAGTCCGTACAAATCCACTGGTATTCAATAAGGATTTTAAACAAACTAAAAATAATCTCATGGTATGCAAAAATCTAATGATTTTAATGAATTCTCTATTGGTGTAGATTTCGTGAGATTTTTTAATGAGAATTATAAGTAGGATATCTCTCTCACAATC